AGCGCGTGAGAGCCCGGCCCAGGACGGGCTCGGTGCAACTCCGGACCCCGGGAAATTCCCGCGGCCCCACTCGGCCAAGGACCTCACGAGTCCCACTCACAACCGTGGCACCCACGGGTGCAAAGATAAGGCTCGGGAACACCAACACCCAGCGCAAGCCCACGGCCTCGGCACAAACCGCGGGGTAGCCCCGGGAGCCGACGTGCCAATCCACCTGCTCGGCTCTTGCTTGCCGCCTGCGACCACACACCCTGGAGCCCAGGCCGAGCGAGGGGAGGCAGCCCAGGGAGCGCTGGTCCGTAGGCAGCAAAGGGCAGGCAAGGAGGAGGCCCCGGGCTCTGCAGAGAGCGGCCGATCCAAGAGCCCTCGGGCCGGGAGCGCCAGGGAGCGCGGGAAAAGCGCGCCCCGCCCGCAGCCGCCGCCCGCCGGCCAGGGACTCGGCCCTGAGTCCCCGCTGACTCCTCAGTCCCCTCGCGGGGGCCAGGCCGAGCCCAGGGCGGGAACCCGCGGCCCGCTGAGCCTCTGACCCCTTCAATTCCCCGAGGCTGTCTGCTCCCGTATCCGCTCACACGGGAACTCGGGGCTCGGATCCAGCCACTTCCCGTCAGCCTCACCGCTGCTGCCCGCTGCGGGCTTCCGTCCACCTGCAGCCTGGACACCACCAAGGCTCTGGAGCCCGGGGCTGCCCTGGTTACGCGCAGAGAGCCTCCAACTCCAACCCAGGGCGCCTCTGCTGCCCCAGCCTGGTCGCCCCTCCGTATTCTGATAGGTAGGGAAAGCTTAAAGCAAGGCTCCCTGTGGGTCCTGACCCTAGCCCATCAGGAGCCCCCGCTAAATGCCCTTTTCCTTAGAGTGCCCTTCACCATGGCATGTTCCAATCCCTGAGGTCACTGCGATGATACAGGGATGGGAACACAACCTCGGGAGGGAGCCAGGACATCATGGAAGGTGGTCAGAGATGATTTGGGGATTTGGTGCTTTTTCTAATTATTTGTGTATTAGACAGAATTGGAGAAGGAGACGACCTGAACTACTGTGTGCTCCCTCCCCTAAATGCACGCCAGGGCTCCCAATCCTGGTGTCCCAAGTGAGTGGCAGGATTGGATCGCTGCACCGGAGCCTTTTCCTTCACTCTGATACCTCAACTCTGGCTTGGCTCAGGGTCTGGGGACTCCCTGATGATGGACACTCAGGCTCACTGCAGTGATCATGGGGGAAGGGCAAAGGTGTGGTGACACACACTCAGCTCAGAGCACCTGTCTGGGGCAGGGACTGGGGAGGCCCAGGTGGCCTCAGAGGCCCAGTGGAGGGAGCCCAGGCTCTTCAGCAAGGACTCCTCATCGTAGAACAGCCCCAGGAGGCTGGAAGACCAGAGGCATAGCGCTTCTCCAGGCCCACTGCTGCCCCATCCCCTGCTCCTCTCAGCCAAACACAGTAGACAGGAGCTCCACTAGAGGAGCCCAGTGAGGGCCCAGGCTTGAAAGGCAATCAAACCAAATCTGTGTTCCTGGCCTGGAGTCCACATTTACGCATCACCCTCCCCTGTGCTCAATGCTGACGCAGGTGCACACACCGAGCTGTGAGGGTCAGTTTCTGACAAAAGGCAGTCTGATTAGACAAACATTCTTCTCGAAGATAATCTTTCACTAAGTAAATTGGCAACGTGGACACTCTTAATAAAAGTTAAACTTCCTAGGAAAAGGACAGTTATTTGCTTTTATTTGAATGCAAGACACAAAGTCACTAACCTATGACTCACTTTCCAAATGCCCGCTATGGCTGGGACTGGGACCCACCAAAACCAGGAGCCAGGAACTCCCTGGGGTCTCCTGTGTGGGTGTCAGGGGCCCAAGTCCTTGAGCCTTCACCTGCTGCGTCCCAAAGTGCACACAAACAGGAAGCTGGGACTAGCTATGGGATGGGGGTGTCCCTAACCTGCTGTACCAACAGCCCAGCCCAAAGACAGCAAAGGGAGGTGCTACTTTGTCAGCATGCTGGTGGGGGCGCTGTGGTCTCTGGTCTAGGATCTGTCTTACCTAGCTACTGTGTGTCTCATTATAGTTACAACTTAGTCTCCAACTTGTAACCATCACTCCTAAAGGAAAATGTAGAGCATTACAGGAAAGCAAGCAGGGGGTGGGCATTTCCACAGCAGCTAAAAACTGCTGAGAGATCCACTGCCCCTGCAGGAGTCCCCAGCTGCTCCAGCTTCCTGGGCACCTGCACTCTGAGAGGCAGTAGACAGTGACTCAGGGACTCGGACCCCTGTCTCCCACAAGGAAATCAGATTGAGTTGCAGCTGTTTTCCCAGGCCATAAGCAGAGAGGGGAATCGGATCAGCCAGGATATGAACTGGCATCCACGTATATGCCTGAACTTGCAGGAAGAGGATTAGTCTGTGGAGCAGCCACGCCAGTCCCATGTCAAATGGTGCATTATTTTGAAATCACAACTCCTTCCTTAGTATTTTTCCTTTTTTAAAGATGTATTTTATTTTTCATTAGAAATTTAGATATACAGAGAGGAGGAGAGACAGAGAGGAAAATCTTTTGTGTGTTAAATCACTCCCCAGGCAGCCGCAACAGCTGGAGATGAGCAAATCTGAAGCCAGGAGCCAGCAGCTGCTTTCTGGGTCTCCCATGCAGGTGCAGGGTCCCAAGGCTTTGAGCTGTCCTTGTCTGCTTTCCCAGGCCACAAACAGGGAACTGATTGGGAAGTGGGACCACCAGGATTAGAACCAGCGCCCATACGGGATACTGGTGTGTTCAAGGCGAGGACTTTAGCTGCTAGGCTACCATGCTGGGCCCAGTATTTTGTCTTTCAAAAAATGTAAAAGATTTATTTATTTTCTCATTTGAAAGGCAGAATTACAGAGAAGACAGAGAGAGAGAGCTATCTTCCATCTGCTGGTTCACTTCTCAAATGGCTGTTACAGGCTGACCCAAAGCCTCAGGAGTCTGGAACTTCTTCCAGAGATCCCACATGGGTACAAGTGAGTAAGAACTTGAATTGTCTTCTGCTGCTTTATTAGCTGCAATAGCAGGGCCTGGATCAAAAGTGGAGCATCCAAAGCTCTAACTTATGCCCATATGGGATGCCTGCTGTGCCAAAGCACTGACTCTGAGACATTTACAAATTTAATTTTAATGAGAGTGACAGAGGAAAAACAGAAATCTTCCTCCTGCTGGTTCACTCTCAAAATGATCGCAGTTGCCAGGCTCCATCTACACACACGGGCAATCCGAAAATATTTCCTGGCTCCACTCAGATGGGCTCTGCTCCATCTGTTATAGCCATTTATGGTGTAAACCATTTGTTGGACAATCTTTCTGTCTCTCAGTAAATCTCCCTTCAAATTAAAAATAAATAAATCTTTTTTAAAAACTTGGCTTACATAATTAAAAATAGTATTTGACTATAATTTTGAGTTTTCCTCAATTTTTGTTCCTCACTTTTGAAGATGGAGTTTAATTTCTCCCTGCTATATCTGCAATGGACTTAATGGCCCAGTTCTGAAAGTGAAATTGCCCTAGCATGGATTCTTTCTGTTCTCTCTCTCTCTCTCTCTCTCAATCTCTCTCTCCTGGGGCAGGCAGGCAGTGGAAGTGGGGGATGCTCCCTTTGGCATTCCCCATCCCACCACAGAGCCCCATTTGCCTCCTGGCTGCTCCACTTGGGACCCAGCTTCCTGCTGGTGCCTCCTGGAAAGAGGAAGGCTTGGTGGCCTGGACCCCTGCACCCCACCAGGGAGGCCTGGGCCGTGTTCTGGGCACCTGACTCCTGCCTGGCCCAGCTCCAGCTGCTGTGGCATCTGGGAGAGGAACAGCAGAAGGAGGACAGCTCTCTGCTCTCACTCCCCCTGTCACTCTTCATGTCAAGTACATGAAAATAAACACATGAACACTTTTATATGAAACAGTGGAATATAATAAACATATATTTGGTTATTTCCAGATGCTAAATTCTGGTAAATTTATTATACAACTTCCAGAGAGGATGAATTACTGCCACTTAATTTTCAATCAACTGATGATCTCAATGCCACTGGGAAGGGATTCTTAAAATCCCAACAGCTTAATGGCTAAATCCTTGCCTTGCATGCACTGGGATTCCATATGGGTGCTTGTGCATATCCAGGCTGCTCCATTTCTGTTCCAGCTCCCTGCTTGTGGCCTGGGAAAGTAGTCAACGACAGCCTAAAGTCTTGAGACCCTGCACTCATGTGGGAGACCCAGAAGAAACTCCTGGCTCCTGGATTCAGTTCAGTTCAGCTCTGGTAGTTGTGGCACCCTGAAGAGTGCATCAGCAGACCGAAGATCTTTCTCTCAGTATCTTTTCTCTCTGTATATCTGCCTTTCCAATGAAAATAAAAATTAAATCTAAACAAACAAAACAAAACAAAAAAAATGAAATTAAAGTCTCTATCAGTTGGCCCTGAGGTTACTCCGGGCTAGACTGTCCTGTGTGGGAGCCTTGAAAGGACCAGGCTCTGCAGATTTACCTGCATCACCCATTCTGTCTGTAGCATCTCCTTGGGGGGTTCGTTTGCCTTTTCCTGCTGGCTGGTGATGTTGAACATTTTCCAGAGATTGGCTATATGTTGGTATAACTAACCATAAAAATAGGAAAGGAAAAGTAGGTGGGTCCTGGTTGGATTTCTCAGGATCCCTCAGCTATCCCGGGGGCCTGGCCTCAGGAGGACATCACACCGGCCTGGGAAAAAGGGTCAGGGCACAGTCCCGGGTCCCCGCGTGGCCCTCAGGGTCTCAGTGCCAGGGCAGGTCTGGGCCAGGGAAGCCAAGGTGATGAGTCCCCCACCGCACTTTCCCTCTCCCAATCCGAGTAAGCTCCTTCTACCTGGACACTCCTGACTAGGTTGAGCTAACACTGCCTCTGGACACGCCTTTTCCGGAGGAGCCTTTCTGTGCTACCAGATCCTGGTTATTCTGTCGACACTTAGTCTCTGGGTCAAAGTCTCCACAGACAAGAGGAGGCAGTCAATGTCGCCCCGGATCCTCCTCCTGCTGCTCGCGGGGGCCCTGGCCCTGACCGAGACCCGGGCGGGTGAGTGCGGGTCGGGAGGGAGACGGGCTCTGCGGGGCAGGAGCGAGGGGAGCGCGGAGGGGACACAGGACCCCGGGGAGCCGCCCCTGTGCCGGCAGAGACGTCCCCACCTCGGCCCGTCCCGCCCTCCTCTCATCCAGAGCCTTCGCCGCCGTCCCCCAATCCGTCTCCCAATCCGCGGGCTCCTAACTCCCCGCCAGCACCAGACTACTCACACCCAGGGTGGGAGACAGGTTCGATCTCAGCCCCTCTCTCTCCCAGGCTCCCATTCCCTGAGGTATTTCGACACCGGCATGTCCCGGCCCGGCCTCGGGGAGCCCCGCTTCGTCGAAGTCGGCTACGTGGACGACACGCAGTTCGTGCGCTTCGACAGCGACTCCGAGAACCCGATGATGGAGCCGCGGGCGCCGTGGATGCAGCAGGTGGAGCAGGAGTACTGGGACTGGAACACTCGGAACGCCAAGAACAACGCACTAATTAACCGCATGAATCTGAACATCCTGCGCGGCTACTACAACCAGAGCGAGGCCGGTGAGTGACCCGACCCCTCCCCACGTGCGCCCAGGGCGCTCCGGGTCCCCGGGGCCGAGGTCCCCGTCACCCCGAGACTGCGCGCCCCGCAGAGACCCTCGGCGGGAGCATCCGCTTTCGCTTTTAGTTTCGCTTTTGTTTTCAGCTTTTGTTTTTATTTTCGGTGAGGGCGGGGGCGGAGCTGCGTGGCCAGGGCTGACCGCGGGCGGGACAGGCTCTCACACCATCCAGTACATGTACGGCTGCGAGATCGGGGAGGACGGGCGCCTCCTCCACGGATACAGGCAGTTCGCCTATGATGGCACGGACTACATCGTCCTGAATGAGGACCAGCACTCCTGGACCGCAGCCAACATGGCAGCTCAGATCAGCAAGCGCAAGTGGGAGGCTGAGGATCTGGCTGACCGCCACAGGGCCTACCTGGAGCTGGAGTGTGTGGGGTGGCTGCGCAGATACCTGGAGATGGGTCAGGAGACGCTGCAGCGCGCAGGTACACGGGGCTGGTCGGGATTGCCCTGGCTCACCTCCCCTGGAGCTGTGGAGGAGGGGAGAAAAGTGGGACCCAGGCCAGGGTCTGTCTCTTCTCAAGGCGGGGGACCTCCTCCGTGCTTTGGGTCTAAAGCCAGAGACTCGCTCTTCCCTCAGGAGATGAGAGACCAGCCTTGGGGGAGGGTACTTAGAAGATTCCAGAAATAACCTCCCTGGACTCAAGCAGTGTCCAGTGAGATAGGAACTCACAACCAGGGTCTGTCCTCAGCCTCAAGCTAAAATACTGGAAGTTTCACCCCAAGGTTTCTGGGTTTCTCATCCTCCACTCAGGAAAAGGCCATATCCATTTTCTCCCCACAGAGATCTGGAGCCTCCTAGCCTGAACCATGCCTGATTCTAGAACTTTCCAAACACTAGATTACCTCATTGTCTTTATCCAGGCTAGGTCTGAGTTTTACACTCCAAACCCACCCCAGTCCTCCTGTCTACAATCAGGATGGTCACTGAGTGTAACTTTGATTTCTCATAAGCCTGAATTTCTCAAATTTTTCCTCAGACCCACCCACAGCACACATAACCCACCACCCAGTATCTGACCAGAAGGCCACCCTGAGGTGCTGGGCCCTGGGCTTCTACCCCAAGGACATCACACTCACCTGGCGCCGAGATGGAGAGGACCTGACCCAAGACACAGAGCTAATAGAGACCAGGCCTTCAGGCGATGGAACCTTCCAGAAGTGGGCAGCTGTGCTGGTGCCTGTTGGAGAAGGGCAGAGATACACATGCCACGTGGAGCATGAGGGGCTGCCTGAGCCCCTCACCGTGAGATGGGGTAAGGAGGGCAGAGTGGACAGAGCCTTCAGCAGGGGCAGGGCTGAGCCCTGGGGTCAGAGCGCCTTATTGTCCCTTCCCCTCTCAGAGCCTCCTCAGCCCACTGTGCCCATGTGGGGAGTCATCGCTGGCCTGGTCCTCCTGGCAGCTGTGTTCATTGGAGCTGTGGTCACTGCTGTGATGATGAAGAGGAAACGCTCAGGTAGGGCAGGGTGAGGGCTGGGTCTGAGTCCCCTGTCCCCAGGGAGGTCATCCTGCCCAATTCCGGGAAACACTGTACACACACACCTGCACCCCTAGCTGAGCCACAAGTGCTCACATTAGCTCTGGTGTGAACAGCGAGTGAAGGTGGAGGATGAAACTCCACAGGGATGATTTTGCTCACAGGTACCTGGGTACCAACAGCCCCAGGTCAGGGGGAGGTCCCAGCTGAGGACACACCTCCAGGAGAGGCACCTCCTGACCCTTTCCTGGGTCTGCCAGCCACAGTTCTGGAATCTTCTCTGAGATGAGGCAGTGTACCTCTGGGCTTCCTCTAGGCAGGTCCTCAAACCCTGCTTTCTTCCTACATCTCACCAGCTCTATTCTCTCACAGGTGGGAAAGGAGGGAGCTACACTAAGGCTGCAGGTAAGCACTGGGGTGTGTTTAAGGGTGGAGGAGCCCCAAGAGCATTGCCTTGGCCAGATGCCCATGGAGAAGCTGCCCTGCCCACCCTGTAGCTCCTCCCTCAGCCACACCTCCAGGGGTCTCACCAAGTCCTGATTGGTTCTCCCAGGTCAGGACAGTGCCAGGAGCTCTGATTCCTCTCTCACAGCCTGAAAGGTGAGACCTGGAAGGACCTGGAGGGGAGAGGTGGCAGAGATGAGAGGATCCAATGAGGCTGGGAGATTCCTTGTATTTGGACATTTTCATGTGTGCTGGTTGTTAATGTTCGCGTGAGCAAGTGATGTGAAATTGTTAACTCGTTGTTTCTGTGTGGACAATTGCCTTGTTTCCATCTGAAGTGTATCAGAATTGCTTAAGTCTTCATTTTGGTGTCTTCAAAAAGCCCTGCCCTCCCTTCCTGCACAGGCATCTGAGTGTGTTCCTGTGGGCACAGTATGAGGTGGGAGCCTGGCCCTCCCAGCCCAGCGTGGGCACCTCCTTCCCTGTCTCAAGTCAGGTGCATCTGCTGCAGCTTCCTCCTTCCCTGTGCAAATCTGAACAATAATTCATATTTTCTAATTCTTATCATGAACTCATGAGAAATCTAAAATAGAAAATTCCAAAAATTTGAGAGAAAATAAAAAGCACTAACTAGAACCCTCCATAATCCTTGTGTTTGCTGTGTTGAATCTGTTGCAGCTGGGGACAGGAGAGGCTGGAAGGCTCTGGGTGAGGACGGGGCTGTGCCCAGGCAGTGCTTCATCCATCAGCCTTTCCCGTGGTCACTGCTGACCCGGCTCAGCTGTCCCAGTGTCTGTATCTCTCCAGTGTGATGTATCCATCAACACCTGGCCACACAGGACTAGGCAGGGCCAGGCTGCCCTGTCTGGTGGACCTGAGGAAATGGAGGCTGCATGAGGCCTGGACTATAAAAGCTCAGGTTTGGGTTCAGCCTTTGGCTGCTGTTCTCCATGTATTCATTTGTTCCTTAGTGTCGCTGGCTGACTGCACTTGCTCTTCCTCTATGAACTTGGGAGGCCTTCACCTCTGTGTGCAGGAGGCAGTCTGGGAGGGAGGGAGGAAGGAGGGGAGGGCAGAGGGCACTGTGAGAAAGCCCAGGCCACGTGGACACCAGGGAGAGGATGCCTTTCTGCACAGGCCGCAGGTGGCCTCTGTCTTAGCTCCACTAATGAAGCCACGGGGTCTGGAAGGGGCCGTGCAGCACACTCATCACTCAGCTGACTCTGCCATACTCCAGACCTAGTGCTGGGCACGGTGGTCCAGAGTGGTGTGAGGGCCATGGCAGCTGATGTTTCGCCATCATTGAAGGTAAGTGTGCACTGCCCTGAGGAGGTGACCCTGAGGAAGGTTGGAAGGACACAATGAGTCACCAGCAAAGGTGTCTGGGGAGATGCTGTGCAGGCAGGTGACGGCCAGTGCAAATGCCCTAGACAAGAGCAAGTCTGCACACAGAGCAGGGAGCCGTCAGGAAGGCTGGGTCGGGGCACCACCATGCAGCAGGCAGTGTGCACACTGGAAGGCTCAGCCCTGGCTCTGAGTGAGGTGGGAGCCACAAGTCAGCTTTTCTTTTTTTTAAAAAAAATATTGATTTATTTTTATTGTGAAGACAGATATACAGAGAGGAAAATCTTCTGTCCGATGATTCACTCCCCAAGTAATCAAAACAGCTGGAGCTGCCCACAGATCAGAAGCCAGGAGCCAGAAACTTCCTCCAGGTCTCCCATGTGGGTGCAGGGTCCCAAGGCTTTGGGCCGTCCTTGTCTGCTTTCCCAGGTCACAAGCAGGGGAACTAGATGGGAAGCAGGGCCACCGGGATTAGAACTGTTGCCCTATGGGATCCCAGGTGCTCAAGGCAAGAATTTTAGCCATGAGGCTACTGTGCCGAGCCCAGTATTTTTCTTTCAAAAATATTTTAAAAGATTTATTTATTTTCTCATTTGAAAAGGCAGAGTTACAGAGAAGAGAAAGAGAGAGAGAGAGATCTTCCATCTCCTGGTTCACTTCTCAAATGGCCCAAAGCCAGAAGTCAGGAACTTTTTTCTGATTTCCCACATGGGTACTTCAGCCGCTAGGTCACTGCGTCAGGCCCAATGAGACAGCTCCAAGCAGAGAAGGGACATATGCACCTTCTCCTGTCCAGGGACCACCCTGGCTGCTGTTGAGGACAGGGCTGAGAGACTGAGAGGCTGGAGACAAAGCTCTAGGGGCTCCTGCTTTGTCCAGGCAGAGATGCCAGTCACTGTGGTCACTGTGGTAGGCGTAGGCAGAGTGGGAGATGAGGGTCTGGATCCTTCTGCAGCTGGATGCACAGCACTTCCTGTGGACTGCATCCAGGGAAAGAGGAGGAGGTGAGGAAGACATCCAGGGCTTCAGGCCATGCCAATGGGGGCATGGCATCACCGTAGGAGAAGGGCAACCTGGGAGGGTGGATCCCAGGAGGGGCTACCCAAGTGTACAGTGCAGGAGTGATGGGAGCTGCGATGTCGTTGAGAAGTGAGTGACACTGCAGGGCTGGCAGTGACCAAGAGTCAGTTGACAAGGGGAAATGTCTGTGTGGGAGACTCACTGAGGAGTCAGCTCCACATGAACCACATTTGCAGTCAGGAGCAGAGATGGGGCACCCAGGATGTGCGTAGCTGTAATGAGAGGGCACAAGAATGAGCTCTGGACCTGCAAGTCTAATGGGGGCACCAAGCCCACAGCCCAAAAAGCTGCAGAGCTAGCTGTGAGAACTGGGGACCATAGACATGCTGAGGGTATCCAGTCAGCAATGGGAGGACTGGGACACTCTGGATAGGGCAGGGGATTTGCATGTGGCTCAGGTGGATGCCCATGTGCCACCCTCATAGCACACTCTGGCAGCAGGAGGGAAGATAGGACCCCCACCCGGGCTTCAGCCTCCCCTGCAGATGGTCACATGGGCACACCTGGGCTCTGGGCCTTACACAGTGAGTAGCCACCCTGGCAGAGACCTGGGTGCAGGCGGCCGCGTTAACAACAGTTTCGCTTATGATGTTCCAGCTCACAAGGTGAGAATCACATGCACCCATTTCTAAGCCACACTTCCCACCACAACCTCTGACCGAAGCAGGATCCACCAGCATCCTCCTTCTTCCCGATGGCTGCAGGGTCCCAGCAGTCAGGCCAGCTTCTGCTGCTCTTCCAGGCACAAGGGCAGGGAGCTGACTGAGAAGTGGAGCACACAGGACTCTGTTCAACAGCCACATGGGACACTGGCATTGCTGGCAGCAGCTTTCCATGTTATACCACAATGCCAGCCTCTCATAAGAAATCCTCAAAAATAATTAACTCTTTCAACTATCAGTACTTGTAAGTTTGATGCAAATAAAAGGATAAATGCCAAGCATGTGAAATTTTATGACTGATGACAACTGAGTACCATAGTGATGTTTCAGGGTTAATCAAACACAGGGTATCAAAGCCTCCAACACTCCTGCAGCAATGTGAGACAACACTGAGTAATTATAGGACAGCACACACCAGCAGGTGCATGCTGCATGGTGCCTGAACAAACTCTCCTCCCACCTTCTTCCTGGAGCCTGAGGACCTAGGGAGACCCTTTAGGGCCCCTTGTCCTCACAGGCAGGCCCTGGTCCACTCCTGCTGCAGGCAGAGCCCCCAGCCCAGCTCAGGCCATGTTACAGGGGACTCTGGAGCTCTCTGCCACCACTGCCTGGTCTGAGCTGGGTCTGTCCCAAGGAGCAGTCAGGACCAGGAAGCAGAAAGGACAGAGACTCCTCCCCGTCCACACAGACTGAACCAGCGGTGGCAGCTGCTGGGCTGCTCCCTGCGTGTCCACCCCATTCATTCCTCATTCCTCATTCAGTCTCGCTTCCCCAAGAGGGCCCAGCCCAGGAGCACTGACCCTACTCTTCAGCACCAGCATCCAAGCCCCATCCCTACCCCACAGCTCACCCCAGCTCTGGCCCCACACAAGAACCCCTCTCAGGGCAGTTGGCCCCGCAGCTCAAGAATGAACCATGCACAGATGCCCCTGCAGGAGTTTCAGCCCTTCTGCTCTGTGGTACCCTGTGGGCCCTGTCGCTGGGTCCCACACAGACTCTCTCACCTGGTCACCATGGAAACAGAGCCCTGCCTCTGCCCAAACCCCTCATATCTGCCCCCCAGACTCAACAGTAAGATGCCTGTCACCATGTACATTTCCCCACCATACACGCTGTAACACACACAGTGGATAACCCACATGGCACAGCTGCACTCACTCACAAATATGAATCCTTTAATCCATACTGACCCATGGAGAAACGCAATTCCTTCCATTCCATTGCTTTGATTTCTTTATTTTGATTTATAAGGAATGCTCACATTACAACAGAAACCTTAACCCACTGTGTCACAAGGCTGGCACCATTTTTTTTTCCTTTTTAAGATTTTTATAAACATTTGTTTATTTTTTAAAGATTTATTTATTTATTTTTATTAAAAAGTCAGATATACAGAGAGGAGAGACGGAAAGGAAGATCTTCCATCCAATGATTCACTCCCCAAGTGACCACAACGGCCGGTGATGCACCGATCCAAAGCCAGGTCTCCAAACCTCCTCTAGGTCTCCCACATGGGTGCAGGGTCCCAAGGCCTTGGGCCATCCTCAACTGCTTTCCCAGGCCACAAGCAGGGAGCTGGATGGGAAGTGGTGCAGTCGGGATTAGAACCGGCATCCATATGGGATCCTGGTGCATTCAGGCAAGGACTTTAGCCACTAGGCCAAGGCGCCAGGCCCAAACTATTTTATTTTTTAAAGGCAAATTTGCAACCAGAAAAGGACAGATGGAGAGATTTTTCCACTTCTGGGTCACTCGGCAAGTGGCCACAATGACCAGAGCTGAGCTGCTCTAAAGCCAAGAGCCAGGAATTTCTTCAGAGTCTCCCACCTGGGTGCAGGGCTCAAGGACTTGGGCCATCATCTGCTGTTTTCCCGAGCCATAACAGGAAGCTTGGTGGGAAGTGAAGTAGCCAGAACACAAACTGGCACCCATATGGGATCCTGGAGTTGCAGGGAACAGCTTTACCCAAAGTGCCATAATGCCTTCCCCATTTTTTTTTTTTCAGTTAGGAAATAAGGAACTTGAAGTGCTTAGGATGTTGTTGATGAGACCACAGCATGAGGGGCATCAGGCCCCTCTCTGCAGATGGTAGGCTGCCTCAAGTGGAACCGACAAACACAGGAGTAGACAGCATGGCCTGCCGGCCTGGATTTCTCTTGACATGGTCTTGTGGCGCCACCTGCTGGTCATCTGAAACAGAGACGCTCACAGACGGCAGGGGTGAAAAACCAGACAATTTTCCAGGGGTGTGGTTGTTCCCTCAGGACCTCTCCCTTCTTCAGCTTCTCAAAACTCAGATCCGGCCCTTTGTAGGGAGGATGCTGAAACCCCATGAGCACGCGTATCACCCTTTGTCAGCCCTGGCTCCTGTCCTGCACCTCAATCCACATCGAACCCTGAACTCGCTGTCACCACACAGCAAGGGAGCTGAGGGCTGCAGAATAGGC